AGTTTTCGTTTTTATTTGGCGTACTATTTATACGCATTTTCATGAGACCGGGCTCTCTTACTTTAAGAATTAGTCTTAAGAAAGTAAGTTTCATTCCATAAAACTTTAAATGTAACTGGACTTGGTGCTTCACGATTGTTCACAAATGCACTATTTTCTAGGCATTGTTTTGTTTTGTTAGTTTTTTTTTTTTTTCATTATTCTTAAATTGCATAATAATAAACCCACTATAAATACAACAGCAAGTTGAGCTTTCCTCACACCCTTCCATAAAAGATGAAGTGCATCATTTTTTAAAACTTTACTCCTTCTTCAGGTGTAATGTGAAAACACAATTATAAGGCATCTGTATGTTGCCTTCTTAAAGAGTGAAAACACTGTGGCTTTGTGGCACTTTAAGAACTTTAAGCAGCCTGACATGGGCGGAGCTATTAGTTTTTCAACTAATGGCAGACGGGGAGTGTTTGTAAACAATCTGTTTGGTGTTGCTAATGATGCAGAAATTACCCACTTCACCTTTCATGTTGGAGCTAAGGAAATTAGTGAACATGTTATAAAATTATATATTTAATCATGATGATTTCATGTTCAGTAATTTCCTCATTTTGCCACTGTGCTTTACTGTTATTGGACTCTTACAGACGATGATTTTTTTGGACCAAAAAACCAAAGTGCTTCAACTACAGCATGTTTACTACAATAGTTTACCCTCTAAAATGAAGCTAAATATTCTTCAAATGCAGTGGGTTACAAAATATGATGCCGTAACTTCATATAAATGTCACTGACTCTGAATTCTGCAAATTTCAATTGCCTATCACAGAGTAGACAACATATTTTTTGTATATATGTAAGGAATATTTGTTAATGTAGATGTTGTTGTACACTTGTGTGTGATTTACCATGAGCCTGTTTTATGTTGTCTGTTTGTACAGTTTTATACACAGAAAAATAAGCATTGCAGAGTTTTCAGGCCAGCTTTTAAGTTATTTATTTTAAGGGAACGATGTATGATATTCATTTAAGCATGCTGCATCCTTTTTGGCTCTACAGAAAATGATCAAATTGCTATGGTATACATTGTTGTTACAATTTGTTTGCATTATTTATTATTGTTCATTTGTTCATTATATATATATATATATATATATATACTGTATAACATCCTGAATGAAACATTCATGTGCCAGTGGTTCATGTTCTCAGATGGGATGTTTTGAACAGAATGTTTGAATATTGTAGGTGATTATTATTTAAAGGAACATTGCATCCAAAAATAAGATTTTGGTCCAATTTATCCCACTTACATGGTGCTCTAAACCCGTATGCTGTTATTTTGTGTGTGTGTGTGTGTGTGTGTGTGTGTGTGTGTGTGTGTGTGTGTGTGTGTGTGTGTGTTTGTGTACTTTTTGGAGGTTTACAGACATGATTACTATGAAGCTGCATGAAGATCTTTCAGAAATTATTATTTTGTGCTCTTCAGGCAAAATACCAGCATACAGGTTTGGAACAACATTACGGTGAGTAAATGACAGCATTTTCACTCTGGGTGAACTATTCCTTTAATTGAAAATGTTAGGAAGAATCAGTAAGTTGTTTGTCTTTAGAAATGAATCACCAAGGTCGGCTAAGTTCTCACTAATGTCTGTTATCCTTCTATATAATGAATATGTTGTTTCCTATAATGTGAATGTGAATTTAGGCACACGACCAACAACTGAACCGCTTTAGTCCTTTAACTGCTGGGACTCATTTTCTAAATATTGGTACTTTCTCTTTCTAACATCATTCTACTTACTCTTTCAACAGCTTCTTGCTAAATAAACAACTAGAACAAATATATGCATTCTTTTGCTGTTATTTGTCATTGTTTTGTGCCAGGTTACATAATGACCATAATAATATATTGGGCAAAACTGTGTGATATCATCTTAACAACTAACTTACTAACTATTAATTATCAGCAAATTAGGAGTTTATTGAGGGAAGATTCTTAGTTAATAGTGAATATGTGTTCCCTAATCTAAAGTGTTATCACATCAACTATCTGTACAGGAAATAAATTCTGTACAGGATGACCGGACGCATCAATAGCAAAAGATGTAAGTAATGTTTTCTCCTTCCCTTTAAAAACTGATTAGATTTTGCTATCCTAGAATTCAGTTTCAAACTGCAAAGTAAGTTCTAGGAAAAAATCTTACATTTACATTTACATTTACCAGAAACTTTTATCCAAACAACTTCAGAACATAAGGAATAGTTCACCCAAAAATGAAAATTTGCTAAAAGAAAAAAAAAAAAAGTAATCATTCTCAGGCCATCTGAGATGAAGATGAGTTTGTTTCTTCTTCAGAACAGATTTGGAGAAATGTAGCGTTACATCACATGCTCACTAATGGATCCTTTGCATTGAATGGGTGCCGTCAGAATGAGAGTCCAAACAGCTGATAAAAAAATCACACAAGTAATCCACACAACTGCAGTCCATCAGTTAATGTTTTGTGAAGTGAAAAGCTGCTTGTTTCTAATAAATAAAATTCATCATTCAGGCATTTTAAATTTAAACAGTCACTTCTGGACAAAATTCTAGTCCATAATCCATCATAAAATCTGTTCCGATGAAGAAACAAACTCACCTGAGAGTGGGTACATTTTCAGCAAATGTTCATTTTTGGGTGAATTATTCCTTTAAGACAAAAGCATACGCTTCAGAACATGGGCTCATGGAATTACATCATCAGATGGGATTTCCCTCCAACACTTTTCGGTTTGGTCAGAGGAACAAAATACTTGAGTGTGACACAAAATACTTCAGCTAACTCCCCATTCAGATTGATTTTAGTGGAGGAGGCTTCTCTGCACTGCAGCTTAACTCTCATCTACTCCGAAGATCTGAGATCCACCGTCAAATCCATGAGACAATTCCATTAGCAAGACACTGAGGGCAGGAAGTTAATGACCAACGATTTTTTAGCCAGTGCCTCAATTAGGTCAGGAATGGTTTGAGTCTGGGTTTATTTGTTTATTTAATCCCTTTGTCTTGACCTCAGTTAATAAAGTGCACAGTCTTTGTTCAGAGCACAGCATACAAAATCTGAAACCTGTCAAGAACTTTGTCTGGATCATATTAAAAGAAAGAAATAATGAGTTTCATTTTGCTTAAACAGATAACAGATTCACCATACACTTTTACTGTAAGCCCATGTTTTGGACCATTATGATTGTATTTTATTTTATTTATTATTTATTTTTAATTTTTTTTGCATTGCGATGCAATTTGTGCATTATTTGTGACAATTAGTGCA